CCCTCCTTTGAACACGTTCCAGGGCCTCAGTATCTTTCTTGCAGTGAGGGGCCCAAAACTGGAGGTCATGGATGTGCTGTTTCTATACCACAACCGTTCTGTGGTTGTTAGAAGTGGCAAAAGTTGCTGCTATGGCATAATGCGAGCAGGATCACCTGCTCCTTGGAGGCAGTCCCTGAAGCGGCAGTGAGTCGTAAGTCAGGCTTTTGTGGACTGCTGGCTTCCTTGAGTGCCGTATGTCACAAGAAGGTTATTGTAGCAGAAGTAGGCATTGGGCTGATGGGAAATCGCTGTCGGCTGTTCCCTGTGTCAGGACCCAGTGGTGAGCAGCATGAGGCATTGATCATCCAGCTGGGTTCTCACCGTGTGCATTGTGTGGGTTTCTGGTTGATGTTAAGGTCAAGGACTGTGCTATGAGTGATGTGCTGATAAAGCTGGAGGTGTTAGCTCAGATGTCCAACAGAAGGATTGGTATTTTCCCAGGGGCTCGTTTCGTTGCTTTTTCTTTTTTAAATTGGAATCATATATGGTTTATCTTTTTCCTGTCACTTCCACGGTGATGGATGGCATCGTGATTGTCGTCTTCCCCTCAAAGCCCTGCAATGGTAACATTTAAGATTGGTATATTTTCCATTTTCTGAGCAGACAGAGCAGACTTGGGAGGACATTTAAAAAAATTTTAAAATCATTTCGATCCATGGAACAAAAAAAAAAAAAATCCTCATATTCAGTACTTGAATAATCTTTTGGTTATCCCTTACCAGAGCAACTTTGTTAAAAGAGAGAAAGAGCACATAAATCAGCTTAAATAAAACTGAGCTTTGTATTGTGAAAATGCCTGCTGGAATGGGAAAGCAGTGATTAATATGTAGATATGCTCAGGTGGCTTCACTTAAAGGTAATCTACAATTTTGATGATGTTTTGGCAAGGGGGTCATAAACCTTTCTGTGAACCTATACTGTATCAAAGGACTTAGTTTCATCTTTTATTTAGACTTGAGCATCTTTTTGTTCATTAGTTTTTTAAAATACTTTTTAATCAGCTTTTAGGAAAGTGCTTCCACCCCCCCCAAAACAGCAACCCTATGGCAGATAGTTCCACAGCTGTTTGGTGACTTGTTCTGGTGACTAACTTGTGCCTTTGTGTACTTTATTTAATTTTGTTATCTTAACTGAAAAAAGTGAATGCAGTGGGATGGTTTTTGGAGTAGGAGTGTTGAATCCAGCTTCCAGTCACTGGTACCTCTGTGTCTGCTGTTTTTTCTCTTGTAGTGCAAGACTTTTCTGTTAAAACTGGACTTCTCTCTGTGAGTCGAATGATCCCGTCACCTTCCTTTGGACTCAGATGATTGATCTCCTCATTAGTATATGAAAGTTCTTAATTCATTGATTGCTTTTCTGAGTGTTCAGTACTCCATCATAGTGAAGGCAAACCGTTCTCCTGGCAGTGCTGTGACATACCAAGGTAGTAGCTGTTGGTACTTGATGTTCTCTTGTCCCAAGTTGCTGCTGTCTGTATTACATTCTCACCTGGAGGACTCTCTTATCCTGCTAACTGCTGCAGCTCCAGCCTTTTCTTTCTTCCCCTTACATCTGTATTACAAGTGGTATTGGTGGAAGATCACTGCAAAGTATCTTATGGACACAGCAGGGTTACTCCAGTCACCTCTACCTTTTTGCGGTTGGGGGGTGGAGCTGCTCTACACATGAAGCAGGGACCAAGCAAGGTTTGGTATCAGTAGCAGCTGTTCAGAGATCTAGCAGCTATATGAGAAGTTCCAAGCGCTGTTAACTTGCTCAGTGAAACAAGTTTTGTCCTATTAGTCATTAATTGTACAACACGTAGGTTGTTAATTGCCTAATAGAGGGTGCATTTGTCTTAAAATGGGCTTTTCTTTTCGTGTTGTGAAGAGGTTTCTTGTTTCTTGGTTGAGGAAGTGAGATTTGGATTACGTGGTGTACAGCTGCAGGGGATTGATCCTTTCTATTGGAGAAGCCGCTCAAAGGGATGTTGTTCTGGGGCTTTTTGGAAACTCGTAGGAAGCTCCAGCCTGCACTGAACTGTAGCAGATGTTCTGGGCAGCACCGTATGTTGGCAGGAGTTTGTGTGGAGACTGTTTGGAGAGCTGAGCTTGTCTGTCCTGGTTAGATGCCAGATGTGTATCTTAACCATGTGTATGGACTGTACGCTCTGTTGGGTGCTTTACAAGTTACTGACTGCAGTTTCCTTTGTGGTAAACTGAATCTTATGGGAATTTGGTTGCGTTTTATCTCTGTGTCCCATTGGAAGCTGTGAAGTGGGCCATCTGTCACTGCAGAACTTGAGAGCTCTGTGTGAGTTCTGCCGGCCAGACTAGAAAACATTTATTTTCCTCTGAAGATGTTTGACCTGAAAATTCAGCTCAGAGGGAGGCAACCTGACAATTTATACTTGTCAGCTGGGACTCTCAATTGTTTTTACTCTCTTCAGTCTGTGCCCTGGTCCTGTGGTAGCTTGGTCCTGTCATTCTGCAGTGGAATTAGTTGTTCCAATCCTTCCTTGGATGCATCTACGGTATCTTCAGGTACCGTTTGCTTGTGGCTGTTGCTGGAGGAGGTCACAGGACACTTCCATTGTTTCTTTTGGCTGGAACTTGCTGCCATCATCCCTGCTAATAGCTTTCTAGATCTGAAAATAAAGTGGAGGTTCTTATAGACTTTTGGTTCATTCTCTGTTCTTACACACTGCTTCTATCAGAACTGCAGGATTCCTCAGCCTGGGTTGCTTGTCTCATGCCTACAATAAAGGATTCTTTCAGTCTGTTTTTCATCCTCTTTCAACCAGGCTCAGCATTTGTATGTGCTCTTCAATCTCTCTTTGATTTCTAAGTGATAGAAGTCAAGTGTACCTCTTAACAGTATGCAAATGCTGGGAGAAAATCTCATTTTTTTTTCCATGATAATGGTAATCCTGGCAGAGCTGAGCACTGATGCATGCTTCAAGTCAAGCCTGCTGTTACTGCCTCCTTGCAGAGTGAATGTCTGTGTATAATCAATGAATATTAAGATGTTATAATTACAAAATAAACAAGAGAGTTTAGCAAAGCAGATAATGATAACAAAAAGAGAACAGATAGAAAGCTTACCTCTATCCTGGGCTTACTTACAAAACTCCAGAAGAGATCCTTCCCCCCTGGTAGCAGCTCTTAATTAGGTCTAGGTGAATTGCCTTCAGCTGTGCTCCTCTGGCTGACTCACTGCTCGCCTCAGGTGATCAGTCAGAGGTTCAGGCCGTGACTCAGCAGTTCCCATACAGTCTGCTTTCAGAGTGGTCAAATCTGTTGTATAATTTATTGCCTACTTCATACTTCTGTGTTGCTGGGATCTACAATTTGGGGGTTTGTCTGTGTGAGGGGAGCCAATTGGAGAGGAAGATTAACATCTGGTTCATCTGCTGTTAGGAAATACAGATTTGTGCTGCTGAGAAAAACGTCTGGGTGCTGTAGTCTGCTGCACAGATCTGTCTGATCTGGAATCCTCTGTCACAGAATCATTGGAGGCCTGGTCTTGGGCATGGTTGTTTCATTTGCTTGGAACTAAGACTTCTGACAGTGTGAAGCACAGCTACCTTATTCCTTGTTTTTTTGTTTTTTTTGTTTTGGGTGCCATCAGAGGTTTTTCTCTCTCTCCACTGCTTGCACTGATCTGTGCATAGGCAGCAGATATGTGTCACTTGCCATCTCTCATCATTTTTTTATTTTCTTTTGTTTTGACTTTACCCAAAATGCATTCTTCCTGGCTGCTGGGCACGTGAGTTCCATGGCTTTGTTAGAAAACTTTAGAATGAAAGGTAGGAATGCTGCACAGTTGTTACAGCATTTGTTTATGTAGATGACTGTCAGACCCTTGCAATTTTTAACTATTGACATGCTTCAGAAATAGTTTGGTCATATATTGCATTACAGAACTGAAGGCTTTTGTTTGGTTTCAATAAATATTTCCAGTTTGTTAGTATTGAAGATACCTGTGTTTATTTTCTGTGAATGCGTGGGGTAAAGTAAATAGGTTTCTCCTTATGTCCATGTGGGGTTAAGAATACAAGCACCATAAATGGCACATCAGTGTTGCCTCTCAGCTGTGTTACTGACAAAGTGTTCTGAGACATGGCATCGTGTAGAAGCCTGAAAAAAGTGGGGTGTTCTTTTCCCTGAGGAGGTTAAAAAGCCCAGTAAATCTATAGAGGAGGTCTGAGAAATGAGACCTGCAGTGTTGATTGTGAGGCTTAAATGCTTCATCTCCAAGGTGATTCTAAAGTCTGCTTGAAAAGATAAGTCCTAGAAATTTAATGACGAAGACATGACAAAGGCATGACAATGTGGAGTGACTGTCAATAAAGTAAATGAATAAATAACTGCTTGAATTAGATCTTCTATGAAAATACAGATTTTTCCAACAAATAGTAAACTGGCATTCCTTTCCATCTCACACTGATTCTCTTAGTCACACCTTACAGCTGTTAGCACAGTATGGGTGTGGTTGGTGAACTGGACAAAGATTTGTTTTGTTAGTTGAAAACCTTTCATCTTTCCAGCCATCTGTGGAAGCCTTAAGTCAGGTGAGATTTCTAGTGCAGATGCACATTCAGGAAAATAGAAACCCCTCAGTTCTCCTGTTCCTAATCGAATGTGTGGAGCTTGAGTTTCTAGAAATAAGAGCTGCATCCGAATGAAAAATAAGGACAGAGGTTTGTATGAGTAAATAAAAATGGTTGTTAACTGTGTAGAGCTAACAGGCTGAGTTGTTGGATACAGTTCTGGTGTAATACGAACAAAACTGGTCTAGGTTCTATAAGCTTATGTTGAATTATACAACAGATAAATATTAGCTTTCCATATTGTAGGTCCTGGGTTTTCCTTGTAACACCTTTTATCCTCTTAATAGGGCTTGCATAATACTAATGCAAAATGTGCACGCGACAAAGCTTGCTGTTCCCACTTAATCATAAAATATTTGCATTTCAGCTCAAATCAAAGAGAAGATGAAAGAAAGGGAAAAGAAGCAAAAAGAGAAGAAGAAGCACAAAATAATGAATGAAATAAAGAAAGAAAATGGAGAAATCAAGTTACTGCAGAAAGGTAGGTTAAACTGCATAGTGTTTTTCTTAGCGGTATTTAAAACCTTTGTAATTGGATTGAGTGCTGAATCTTAATACTGAGTTTTTTATTTTAACTTGAATACCATTTTCTCAGCATAGCTGCTATAATGCTTGTAATTTAAAACTTTAATTATAAACTTGTCAACTGTGTTAGGTACTGCGATTAAAAATAGAACTCTTGCCACAGTGCTTCTTGCGCAGAGTTCCTGAAAGGCAGCTGAAGGGCAGTATGGTTCTTGGTCTCAGCCACCATGGGTTCATGAGTGAAAGGTCCTGCTTAACTAACTTAATTTCCTTTTATGACAAAGTCACCCATTTAGTTGGCCAGGAGGGGCCAGCTGATGTTATCTTTTTTGATTTCAGTAAAGCTTTTATACTGTTTCTCATACTGTCCTTCTGGACCAAATGCCCTCTCTGCAGCTAGATAAAAACGTAATGTGAGCAACTGGCTGACAGATAGTGTCAAAGGGTTATAATAAATGGGGTTACATCAAACTGCTGGCCAGGCACTAGTGGGGTACCCCTGGGCACTGTTGTAGGGCCATTTCACTTTAATGCTTTCAATAAATGACTTGGATGTAGAACTGTAGGGTGTTTTGAGCAGGTTTCCTGACAATATTAAATTGGGAGTAGCTGTTGATTCTGTCAAGGGTGGAGAGCCCTTGCAGGGAGAAATCCTGCTTCTCTCAGCCTCTCTTTCTGTGAGTGATGCTGTGCTCCCACAGCCATTTTCCTGGCCCATTGCTGGACTTACTCCAGTATGCCCATGTCTGTCTTGGGCTGCTGACCCCGAGTTCTGTGTAACACTCCAGATGTGTTACACCAGTGCTTAGTCAAGTGGAAGAAAAGTTGTCACCATCAGCCTGCTGGCAGAGCTCTTCCTAATTCTGTCCAGGAGGCTGTTAATGATGGCTTATGGTCAGTTTGTCATTTGTGAGGACCACAAACTCCTTTCCATCTAGGCTACTTTCCAGCCAGTTTTGTCTTCAGCCTGGATGGGGGCATGGCTTTATTATTCAGTGCAGTACTCTGTGCTTCCCCATGTTGACTGTGTGAGACTTTTATTGGCTCAATTCTCTGCAGCCTATTGGGGTCCTTCTGGCTTGGCAGTACAACCTTCTTGTGCATCAACTGCTCCCTCCTTCCAGGTTTACACTGTCTGCAGACCTGCTGAAGAGAGTGCGTTGCCTCACCATCCCCATCATCAATAAAAATGTTGTGTAGCGTTGTCCCAAGGTATCAGCACCTGGGATTCTCTGGTAGTGGCTGTCCTACTGGGCTCTGTGCTGCAAATCACAGCCCTTTGAGCATAATAGTAAAGTCTGTTCTTGATCCCTCTGCGTTTGTTGAGGCTGTTTGAGTAGATCCAATATTTTTTATTTTCAGACTCTGCTTTCATAGTTCAAGAACAAATTTCTGATAGATTTTTCTGCTACTATATCTGATGTAGGATTTCATTTACAACAAGAAATAAAACCCCCATATCAAAACACTGTCTTCAGTGCATTCATATAAGGTCATGGACAAGCGATCGTGTAATTACTGTGTCACAGTTCAGAGTATAAATGCAGCTCCAGGTAATTGCATTAGCAACTGGCAGCTGGTCACCTGTGCTGATCAGTCTCAGTATCAGCTTAGACACTGTGGAATGTTCAAGCTGATGACTTCCTGTGAAAAGATGCAACTTGTTTTTGTGTAAAAGGAAGTTGGCGGTTGAGATACTGAGCAACGCATAACTGCCTTAACAGTGAGAATGTTCAGGTTGTGTTTCTGTGCTGTTCTTTCCTATCTTGTGTGCTGAATGGCAATAGAGATGGGCCGCAGGGTAAGAACTTGCAAAGACAGCAACTCTTGTTACACAGATCTAATGAGAGACACCTAATGAGGATATTGCACCTGAAATGGTGCTCCATTGTTTAAAGTGGGTGTTTAATAAAAAAAAAAAAAAAAGGCATGTGCCACGGGTTGTGTAAGATTACCTCTGCTTGTTAGAGCTAGTTGAATAACAGAGTGTGTTGTCCTCACACAGAACAGTGCTGTAAGTGGGTTAAATGCCTGGTCTGTGTTTCACAGTCTCATTATCAGACAAGAATCATATTTTGGGTTTCCTTTAGAAATTGTGCAGCAATGTTTTGTAGAGGCAGTGCTGGGTTTTGCTGTGTCTGCAGTGTCCTGCAGAAATGGCTCCTGTTTCAGGGAAAGAAAGGGAAGTCATTAGGAAAGCAGGCAGATTCCCTCCGCTGGGTTTACATCCTGTTCAGAACAGCAGTTCTGGATGTGTCTGTGGGCCTCCTGAGATCTGGCAGGGTGTGCTTAAGTGTTCTGTGATGATTGTACAGCATTTCCTGATTACTTCTGCTGATGTAGCTTTAAGTGCTGAGCTGAGGGCCGGAGAGCGAAGGCTGATGTGCTTGTAGGTGCAGCTTGTATGTGTCTGTGGTCAGCATCTCTGTGACCTTCTGAAAGGTTGGTAACTCTTTGTCTAAGGATATCTTCTTCCTGGAACAAAATTAAGCTCTAAGCCCTCTTATTCTCAGCTCAGAATTCACTGTGTGGACTTGAGAGCAGAGAGACTTCAGTGCCTGTCTGTGAAGACCACTCACTTCCTCTTAGGTGTCAGGTCCAGATCCTGTTCTAAAAATGTCACTGACTGTCTGCTGAATGCTTTTATTCTTAAGTTGTGAAGGTGATGTTAGTGTTTTGATTTGTCTTTTTTCCTTTTTTTGCCATTTGTTTGAGACTTTCTTTAAGGTGATGGTGGTGATAGGCTGTTTAGCTTCAGACAGTTAAACCAGTGTCCAAGATAAGGGTGGCTAGCTTGGGGAGAGGAAGTCAGTACTGAAGCTTTGGTGCTCTTTTAGGGAGTTGCTGTCCAAGCCTGATTTTAGTGCTTCAAGCTGCATGCTGGCAGAGTTTGCTACTACTGTTTGAGAAGCTTAAGGATGTGGGCTGTTCATCTGCCTGAATTTGTGTTGCTGTTTCTGTTGAAAGCAACTTGCCCTAGTTTGGAGGACAACTCTGAAAGGGCTTTTTTTTTTTTTTTTTTCCAGCTCCTGACTTTCTAAAGGAAACATTTTCTCTTTCAGTGAGCCTGGTGGCTTTTGTATGCATCTGGGGCTAAATGCTTTTTTTTTTTCTGTCATCGTTTTCACTAGCAGGTGTGTTTTCTGCAGAACAAGACCATGTAGTTGCTGCTGCTGCTTCTCTCTAGTTTTCTATTCGGAAGAAAGACCTGTGTTTTTTGGAAAAGAAGAAAACCTAGCAAAAGCATATTGTTTAATGTTAAAGAAATATGAGCAATTTAATTGTGCACTTCCAAAAATCTGCATGGTTGGGAAAAAAAAAAAAAAAAGAAAGAAAATTGAAATATTTTTGTAAGGAATTTTTACATTGCTGTGATGACCTGGTTAAAGGCTACTGGAGGACCTGCGAGAAAAAGAGGGGGAAAAGAAAAAGGCTCATTTGTAAACAGTATCATCTTTTTTTCCTTTTAAAGCAAAACAAAAAGTCAGCCCTATTTTCCTGATATTTTTTATTTCTAAAAATGCAGTAGGAGAAATTGTCAGTGTGTGTCTACAAGGTTAAATGTGTTGGCTCACGGAATGACAGAATACAGGGAAGAGCTGAGAATAAACATCTTACTGGTATTGAAGTCTGTATGTACAAATTATTTTCGAAAGCTTTTTTTTGTTTTGGAATTACATTTAATTGTACTTTCTCATGAACCTTCTAGATTTTTTTTTTTTATAGATGGGTTCTGCACAGAAGTGATTATAAAATCCGTATGCATGCAACCTCCATCTGAGTCATACTGCATGCTTTTTCCCCACTTGCTATATTTGGTCTTTGTGTTCCTCTACAAATCCTCGAGTGTTTTCCTTATTTAATACACTTGAGCGGATGGGGATGGAAGATGCTGAGGTAAGAGCACAGGAGGTGCAGCCCCCCACAGACTGTGTGCAGCAAGTTGCCAACTTCTACCTGTAAAATAGATGCATGCAGAGTAAGACACTTAAAATAACAGGTATGGTACCTGTGATGAGATCATCTGAGAGCAGAGCTTTCATTCCTGTGGGCCTCAGACATTTTTCAGAGATAACACATGTGCTTACCTTGCGTTTCCAGTAGATTGCTGTTACGAAGTTTTATGCAGACATCTTCATTTCCACTTGCTCTTTGTTCCTCCCCTCCTCTTTACCTGACTGCCTTGTTTCTACTGCTGAAGTTGTTGCTGCCTGTGCTACTCCTGCTTAGCTAATGCCTTCAGTTGGCATGGATTGCTGAGACCCTGAGTGGATCCAATAGTGCTGGACTTGGGTGAGCCTTGCTGTGGTACAGTTGACATCATGGCAGCAGCTGCCAGCAGGAGGAAGAGGAAAGCTGCACTGGCACTGAAGGAGGGGAGAAAAAATCCACCAGAAAAAAACAACCCAAACCCCACACTGCTGCCTGTGAAACCTGTGCAAGCTGACAAGTTCTTTGTGTAATTTCTTTGAAAAATATCCAAATAATTTGTCTGAAGGACGTAAGTACGAATCATAGGCATATGATGGTAGGCTGTGGGTATAATGTGCACATGTATCGCTGTGAAGTAATCTGAATGTTTTCAATGATTCTATTTCAAATACAAGGAACTCAGAGGCAAGATTTGCAAGAGAATTGCAGCGCTGTCATACCTATGGAAAGCTCTTCCTTTGAGATCAGTGCTTCTGCCCTCAGGCTGTTATTGCTAGTAAATTGTTTTGGTTAACTTGCTAGGTGATTCCAGGCAGAGTGGATGCACACAATACAATCACAGGGCAAAAGATAAACATTTGGTATGTGTGAAGTTGGCTTCCTTTCTGGAGCTACTGGAGAGAACCCAATGTAGGGCTATAAAGACTAAGGGGACTGGAGCACCTCTGAGGAGGGGCTGAGGGATCTTGGCCTGCACAGCCAGGGGTGGAGGAGGCTCAGGGGGACCCATAAGTACCTGAAGGG